CGTGTTTCGTAGGTCCGTGGAGCAGCCGCAGCTCGAAATCGGCGCCGCCGGCCGCACCAGACGCCGACGAAAAAAGAAGAGAAAACTCGAGAGAAACTGTGGCACTCGCGGTGAGAATCCACCGACACCGTTCTCCCCTTCTACTTCTTCCGCGCAGCCTTTCATTGCCTCTCTTCTTCTTGTCTCCCGAGATTCCTTCTCCTCCTCCTCTTTCTTCCCTTTCCTTTTTTCCCCTTTCGTCGATCCTTCCATCCCTTGGTTTCTTCGCTCGACTACTTTCGATTCTCGATTTCTTTTTGTTCCGGCAAGGACCGGGACCAAAGGCGACTATTAGCCGCGCGCGTCTGTCTGACTCTTTTTTTCTTGTTCTACTTGCTGAACCGCTCGATCGTACGCCGATAAAATTCTTCGAAACTTTAACGCGAAAGAGAAGAACTTTCGTTACGACGATGAAATTTATTATCGGCTAAGGGTAAAAGGAAATTAACCGAGATTCCGAAAAGTTGGTCGATACCAACGTAACAATTCGCACCTTCGTATTCTTATTTTTACTCGTGAAATAATTACGGGCCACATTTTATGGAAGGAACTTGCCATGACCCATAATTTAGACACTAGGTCGAATCTCCAGTTTTGCCCTCCCAACTCGTTCTCTTCCCCCTTCGTCCGTTCTTTTTTCCATTTCTCTCGCTAGGAACATTTATGCCGTCTGAGGCTACGACGGGGTAATTGGATACACGAGCTGCAAAGCGTGGGCGTGTCGACGCCAAACGTTATCTCCTTATCGATGAAATTGCTTCGGGATACGACAAACGTTACCGCGCGAAAATTTTTCTCTCGTTAATTACGGACTCGTGTAATTAGAGATTATTTCGGTATGCAGCCGACGCGGTTACAACTGTTTCTAATTAGACGACGCTATTTTTGACATTTTTATACTCGTGTTTCCCGTTCTATTCGCACGCGCTGTATCTTTAAATGGATTCTGTTACTACGTTCTGTTATTACGTATAATGAATTTTATCGTTCTAGTTGCGTTACGTAACAACTTTGACGTAGATCATCCGTAGGGTATAGGCGTAACTCGTTTAACGGATTACCGCCAACTTTTTGCCATCCTAGATCTTTATCCCAATGTTAATACATGACGGGTTTCTACGATATATGCGCATACGTAACAGATAGAACGTAAAAGATCGAGATACAGCTTACTGCCTGCTAATATACAGGTAGAATAACTTGTTAGCAAGCTCGACAGCAAGAAAGATATTATCTATAATCTTATAACGTTATTAAATAAAGCTACTTTTATTGTTATTAAATCTTGCGAGATTAGGATTTTCCTTTTTTCGGAATCCTTTGGCTAATTGTAAGTGTAACGACATACGCTTCCACATGCACGAGTAGGTACGAGTTTAATCACGACACTCGAAACTCGTAGTTTATTTCGTTCGACGATACCAAAATCTGTAATAGGGACTAATTGTCCATGGCACGATATATCTCTGTCAGTCAACTGGAAGACTAGTTCTCGGTGCTGACCGTAAATCAATTTTAACAAATGCTAAAGCCACGCCTTGTTTCCTCCTGTTTGTGCTTCTCGAGCACCATCGCTGCCGTCGTTGTCGTCGCCTGAAACGGCACTTCCGCTAATTACACCGATGCGAACTACGAACGATGCGTGTCCGATATAAAAAGAAACCGTCTGGAGTCTAACTGCGCGTCAACGAGCTTCTAATTAATAACGAACCAACCAACAAATAACGAACAGAAGAAGGGGCATAGCGAGGGCAAAGATATGAGAAGCAAATGGAAGACGAATGGGTAGCGGCACCTACAGCGAGAACGGACCGATATCCTCTTTTTTCCCCATCTTCGTGTTCCCGTTCTCATTCCCATTCTCATTACCATTCCTATCCCCGTTTCCCTCCCATGACATCGCACGGTGGCCTGTTCGTTCGCTAGCGGCGCGTATTACGAGTATTTATGCCGTTTACGTATAATGTAATTGGACGCGTCTCGATATGGAACGTGGGCGTTCCAGCGACGTTCTCTGCTCGTTCTTTCGCCGGCACCAACATCTTTGATCGCGTCGCGAAAAATTGCAACTCGATATTTACGAGCTTGTCGGCAAACGTTTCGATAAGATCTCACCGATAATCCATCTTCGTTCGGCCACTAATTATCTCGAAATTAGATATATCGATATATCACGCGACGAATCGTCGGTATTTCTTAACGACAGAATAGGTGTGTCAACGCAAAACGTGTTCGTAAAATCTCTGAATCATATAGCGTTTCCTTCGCGATCTCGCTGTATGTTTCGATCGATATTGGATAGAGTCGAGACCTTGCGATTTCATATTTTTCGTTGACGAAATAAGCAGCTGGTTCGATGGGAGAAAAAAGTAGGCCGATAGATATGGAAGTAAGGTGTTTCACGTTGCCCTTTTGTTGCGAACGTCAACGACGAAACTCTGGGAAATTAACTACGCGGACAATTAAATTTGCGTGAACCGAAATCGGTGGTTGGACTTCGGACAAAGTGTCCAAAGGAGCGCGATTAATCGGGCTAATTTGGTCACGAATTTCCAAAGTGTTAATCCACGGCCGACGTGTTTGCCGCGATTCCCGCGTGCAACCTATTAACCGAGTGACGAGACCGCGTTTCAGCAGATTAAACGACTTTACGGAGAAACCGATACGAAGGTAAGATCCGAGCGGGCTGATAGGCGGCAACGTGGTCGACGGGGGATAATCCAATTCGCCGCAAACCCGTAATTAAGTACAATGAATATCCATTTCGGCAAGCGGGCCGATCTATCGGATGGCTCGAATGAAATCTTAATTGCACGCCTCTGCGATCGAGCAATCTGCATAAATTAAGAGACCGTCTTACGTGCTCGCGGTGTGTACGTCTTTTTCGAGATAGAAGGTACAGGTTAGATCCGCAGATAGCTCCGGTAATTTCAAACGTTGAATTACCGAGCAAGATCGATGGGCCCGCGTGAAAATTAAACATCCGTTTCGCATTTTTCCTCCGTATGTAATTCGTTGTTCGACCAGTCGATTCCAAAGGAATCTAAATAGCGCTTTTACGATATTTTAACGGTGGCACGCGCGGACTCGCGTTTGATCGCGTTTTCGAATCGCTCGATTTTGCCACGAGCCACGTGGAAAACGACAAATCGATTTTCCCGTAAATCGACACTTTGGATAGATCGTAGATCAGCGGGTATATCGGATCAACCGTATCGCGTTGCATCGCGTCAGGTAGCCGAAATCCGACAAACCATTAATTATTCCGGTCGGCATCGGTTCATCGATGACCGCATCGAGAAAATGGAATTCCTTTTCACGAAAATCAAACGCGACCGCGTAAAGGGGAATTCCATTGAACCGGATAGGAATTTCATATCGAGCGGGATGCTAATCAAAGACCGGGGGTTGCGTTGTTGTTGCACAGAGCCGAGGCGGCTGACGGAAACACGGCTCGAATGGCAAACGCAATCGGGACTGGTACAGGTTCAAGGACGAGGCCGAAGAAAACATCATCAGACGAAACGATGGCAACGTGCCAAGAGATCGATCAGCCGACCGCGTCACGTCGAGGCTCTCGTTGTCGCTGACACGACGATGATGGCTTTTCATCAGGACGGCGACGTTGAGACGTATCTGCTGACCATCATGAACATGGTGTCCTCCCTCTACCTCGATCCTACCATAGGGAATTTCATTAACGTCGTCGTGGTCAGGATTATCCTCGTCGAGGAGGACGACGCGGAAGTACGTGCGAATTACGCCGGTGATGTGCGTTACGTTCAACAACTAGATGCACGGCACGGTTTACACGATACCGTGTTTTATCTAGTTTACTATTATAACAATCGGATATAAGATTCGGTAAAATCAATTTGCTTTCTCCCAAAGAGGCGGCTACGGTCAACCGATCGAAATGCCGTTGCAATATCGCATTAATGCTTTTGAAGCGATCTTCTTATCGTCCATCTATCTGTCTATCTATTTATCCTGTTAACTAACGACGATTGTACCGGTACTCCCAAAATCGCTAAACAAAGCGTCGAAACGATTCCACATCACGCGCGTTCATCATCCGTAAAATATTGGATCGTTTCGTTGGTTGAACGAATCACGAGGAAAACGTTTGAATGCTAGGGCAATGTCGAACGTTCGGATCGGTTGACACGCTCGTAAACCGTAGCCACTGAACGATCGAAAACGAATTCCACGGCGGGAGAAAATGCGCGCATTTCTATTCAACTGGCCGCGAAACGGTCCGACTAACGTCTGTTTTCAGCAAGGACTGGACATCACGGTGAACGCGGACAGGACGCTGTACAATTTCTGCAAATGGCAACAGAAACTGAATCCGGTGGACGACTCGCATCCGAATCACCACGACGTGGCGATTCTGGTGACGAGGGAGGACATCTGCTCGAGAGCGAACACGCCGTGTAGTACTCTGGGAGTGGCTCACGTAGCCGGCATGTGCCAACCGGACCGCAGCTGCAGCGTCAACGAAGACAATGGAATCACGCTCGCGCACACCATCACCCACGAATTGGGACACAAGTGAGTGGAAACGTTCGATCGATCTTTAAGTTAAAAAAAGAAAAAAAAAAAGAAACAAGAAATAGATAACGATTCCATCGGTCGAACGTCGCTGGCAAACTTGCCTCTAAATTTCCGCTGAATTTTCCGAGAAAAAGTAGCGACTCGTCGGAAGTGAATTATCTTCGCGAGACTCGAGTATTACCTCCGTGTAATCCAGAGAAATTTATTACCTCTTTTTTATTAGATCCTTAGAAGCGCACTTAGTCTGGCCAAGCTTCTTTGCCTCGCAGCGATTACTCCAAACATATTTCATATTTCTCGGTGATCAAGAGTCCTCGATTTGGCTAACTTTTTATCGATCGGTAGTACGTTTTAATGGTATATGTGAATTTATATTCCGACTGGATGACTTGTATTCTCTTTGTCTCCTGGCATTAACTCTAAATGCGACAAACTAGACTCGTAACGGAGTTCAACTTTAATCTCAATTTGTCTTAACCTCTGAAATTTAAAGAGGCATTAAACATAAACTATCATACTGGCTGCTGTTTCCTGTTAACTCGAAAGGTATTCAAAGTACTTTGGCCATTTTATTTTCAACCTTTCTCACCAAATTTTCGTTGCCGTAGAGTTTCACTTTGCTTCTAATAAAAATTTACTATTAAACATCTGCTCTTTCTATTATACGATTATCTACGTATCAAAGTACCAAAATATTATAAAATATTATCAAAACGCACGCACATGAAACTAACTAATATTATCATCCGCAAAAAATTGGCCGAATCGATGCGTAACTCGTTTGGTCAGCTAACGGAGAATCCAATTCCCCGTGCTCGTTATTAAGCGCAATTTGCTTTTATTAATATAATAACCGATAACGCGACCTCGTTATCGCGTTTGCCGCTTATTTGGCTGGAATCGTATCGCGGGCAGGCACACGCGAAATCACGATTCGTCCGAAATCGAAATGACTCGCGACAATGACACGATTTTCGCTGCAGCTTTGGCATGTACCACGATACGGAAAAAATCGGCTGCAGCAAACGAGACGGTGACACCCTGCACGTGATGACGCCGACCTTCGAAGTGGACACCATTGGCGTCGCCTGGTCCAGATGTTCTAGAAGGGACATTACCAATTTTTTGGAGTAAGAAATTTCAAAATCTCTTTCGACAACATCAACTGTCGTTTCAGATGCGTCGTTCGAAAAGTCTGAACAACGAGTTCAATTGTTTTGCCAGATAGCGTGTGTTCGAAGCTTTAAAAGCTTTAAGAGAAGGAAAGTTTTTAAAGAAAGTTTCAAAACTTCCACAGTCAAGGGAAAGGCGAATGCTTGGAAGACGAACCGGCGGACAACGATTACTCGTATCCAGAGTTACCGCCTGGCGCGATGTATAACGCGGAGCACCAATGCAGGCTTCAGTTCGGCGTCAGGGAAGCTTCCGTTTGCTCGCCCTTGCAGGAGGTGATGAACAAAAGTAAATCGAGTACGGGGCAATTTTAGACCGGTGAATAGAGATCGGTGATTTTGTTCACAGATCTGTTCTAAATTATGGTGCATCGTCGATGGCACTTGCACCACCATGCTTCATCCGGCCGCCCCGGGGACACACTGTGGCAAACACATGGTAAGAATATTAGATGCGTAATTATACACATAGCGTTATGCGATCGTAGTTCCCAATGAATAACAATTAGCCACAAATTTATATGATTGAATTGATTAATTTAATTCTCTATTTCACCGCGTCGTCGTGTCATTTCGTATTCGAGAAGAAACAATAGAAAATAATATCGTAAGATATAATGTTGTAACAATGAGAAATATAACATTAACGGGTAACGATAAAAATGAAAAGGAGAATAAAGCGGTTTCGAGCACGACATTCTCTCTTTTGATAATCGACGTTCATTGGTCCTCTGGATATTCATAACGCTCTAAAAAAAAAAAAAAAAAAAAA